TGCTGTCACGGATCAATGAAGAAACAACTTTCTGCACCTGAATCGTTCTCAGTGGACAAATATAAAACTCACATGCTGGAAAGATGAAACGTTTCCTTGACATTTCCCTTCGCCGCGCCGCGCCGGCGGCTGACGGCAGCCGACTGCATGTGCAGCAGCTGACATGCGACAGTAAACGGCGGCGCTGTACCGGCCCGGTTCTGCTGACTGGTTCCGCTTTCATCACGGTGCTGCTCTAATGGGCCTTTTAAATGCAACACAATGGAAGTGGGTTTGTCACAGTTCATCACGGCAGACAAACCCCATCAGCTCGCTTCCTCTGGATCCGTCTGAAGCTTCATTACGGCCCGTCGCCGCGGGGGGCGGGGCGTCGGTGTCAGGACGCCGCGCCGACGGCGCCCAGGTTCCTGACAGCGATAATGACGGAGCGTTATGATTCAGAAAGGAGGCTGGTTCACTGGCGTTTGCTGATGAGTAAAACAGTAAAACGTTGTTGTTGTTTTTAAGGCTGTAATGAGAGGAGATGTTAGAAACTCAGCAGCTTCCAGAAACATAAAACATGTTACATCTGCCTCAGATTAATCTGCTGACTGCTTATTTATTTTATACAGACTTTCATTAACCTTTTAAAAGGAGAGTTTCATGGTATTTATGTTCAGAATGGCGCCTGTTAGCCGCTAAGCTAGCTGTCAGGGATTGAGTTAAATCAATGAAACCAGTCCTGATGAACAAAAACCTTCATAACGTCTCTTTCCTTATCAGGTTTCTACAAAATATGGTAAGTATCATATAAATAAGCTGAGAAAACTGCAGATGTGTAGGTTAATAAAATATTTTGTCTCCTGGATATGAATCTATGAAATGTTTGGTTTCTGTGAAGATGCAGGAGAGGACTAAACATTTTTTTCTTTTACAATGAAGAATTAATTTAATTTTACATAAATGGTCCTGAAGGAGACATAGTTTGCTTTTCTTTTTTGAAATTTTATCTTATAAATATTGCAAAGTTTTATAAACAAACGAGATAAGTCCAGTTTTATCGTTTAACTTTTATAAACTGCAGTGCGTCACAGAACAGGAAAAATAATGCCAAAAAAACTCAAACTCTCTTTCTTGCTGTTAGCTTCGTGCTACATCTGCACACCCGTTGCTGTGGCAACCTACTGACAACATCCCCACTAATTAACAGATTACATTCAACTGTATCAAGAATTAAAATCTAAAATCATGCAAACATTTCCCACAAACAGAAAATTCAGTCTGTTATAGTTTTATGTTTCCAGACTTGATGTTCATTTTTATTTTGCATCATAATTCTGCACCAGAGGAGAGCTGCCTAATAACAACAATATGTTTTTAATGTTTCATTCCAACAGTACAGAAACGTAAGACTCATTCTGAACGTTATTTCAGATATAAAATCCAGTTAATGCTTCACCTTGGCTTTGACCTACTTGCAGGTTTGGAGATTCACAAATCCACTTTTCCTGTTTTTCTGCAGTTTGATGCAAATTTAATGTCTGAATTTAATCCGACTCCATCAAAACCACAACGATGTGCTTCCAGCGCCTCACCGCTAACATGTCAGAAACGTGGCGGCTGTAATCAAGTTGTCGTAAATTGCAGCCATTTGTCACAAGCTGAAATTGTTCAAGGTGATTTTTCTGAAATGTTTTTCATGTCAAACAAAAAAATGGACAGAATCACAAAACCAGAACAGTGATGGAAATTCATTGATTCATGAGCTTAGAGCTGCTAGTTTTCTACTCTCGTTTCATTTTTAACATAAAACTTTTTGAGTTTCTCTGTTAAAAGTTGCATTTAAATGTTTGTTGCTTACATTTTTAAGCTGAGTGAATCTCAAAGTGAAACGGTTTCTATTCTGCTGTTTACATCCTTTTCTGTTTTGTTTTGCATCAAATATAAAGTTGTTTAATATTTGCTATGTTCAGTGGTGACCTTTAACCCCTTCCGATATGATGCGTTTTAGAAACATGAAAATATTTCCTGGTGTGATCATCTGAACTTTGAGATGCTAAATAAATGCTAAAATGCTTAAAAATCATTTTAAAAGTCACAGAAGCGATAGCGTAATAATGTTAACTTCTGCTATACTCTAAGCAGATGCTCTGTCTGCACTGATGAAGATTCACTATCTGCATGGGGGAAACTTGAACTGGCTCCAACTGACAGCAGCCCAATCTACTTTCTGTTTTAGCTGAGGTTCAGGCCGTTTCCCACTTGGCACAGTGATGCAGTGGAACCCAGTTCAACCTGCTTGAACAGAAACTTCCTGTGGAGGAGAGATGAGTTTTTACTGGATCAGGCCGTCAGGTGTGGACGTCCTGATTGGTCAGATCGGAACGCATATCTCACTTTAATGAAATATGTATAGAAATATTTTATTTGCTGACTGAATGTCAGGGCAGAAAAAGTGAAAGATGTTTTTTATCTGAATTAAAACCACCAGGAAGTCCCTCGCTGCCTTCCTGGACTCGGTAGAGCAGAAGTTTGTGAGCTTTGCTCCTGAAGTGCTGACAGCAGCGGCTCCGCTCCATTAGCGGCGCCGTCCGCTCCCATCATGTCAGCCGCTGCTGTCACTTCATCTGGGCTTCCTGCTGGCCAGCATCACATCAGAAAACAAAACACAGACGCATCAGTCTGTTCCAGTCATTTCCTGTTGGGTTTACTCCTGAGCTTCCACGCCGTTCAGAACCACTTCCTGTTGGTCTAATCGGGCCATTCAGAAAAAACTGACTAAAAATAACAGTTACTGAAAAAATGTGCTCCGTTTCCGGTTTCTGGTTTTTCTTGCTGTGCCGCTTTCTGCCAGCAGATGGCGCCACTTCGGCATAAGTCAAGAAGAAGCGCTAAAATCTGATTTGGGATTACTTTGCGTTTCACAGGGGTTTGAATAACATTAAAATGGGAAAATGCCGCTGCTCTTATTATCTTTAGTGAAAGTCTGAAAGTTTCTGTGTCGTAAATCTTTTACACCTGCCTGAGATGTTTGGTTTTTCATTTGAACACATTTCCTCAAACTGTGATGTTTTCTGGGATTTTGTTACAACTATAGAAAAAAATGTATTCTTGTTCCTGGTATAAAAAAACCCCTAAAAATATAACTGAACAGAAAATCTAAACTGAAACGAAGCATTTTCAAACAATAAAACTAAACTAAAGTGAACACATAGTCCACACTAACAATGAGTTTTAAATGAAAACAATGAAGCCGTTCTGATTGCTGCTGGACGCCGGGAGGTAAAAATGTGAGTTTTTTCCCAGCATCCTCTCTGCAGGCTGGGCGTGGGCGGAAGGAGACGCTAATTGTTTAATTAGACGATGGAAGCGCCGAGCTTCACAGTCTCTCCTGGAAGCGGCCGCCGTGTCGGACTCATCGGCACACCGGACCAAAATAGTCCGTGTGAAGAACAAGTTGGAGAGTTCAGGCGCTGCTTACTTTCTCTCACACACACACAAACACACACACACACACACACACACACAGACTGTTGGAGCGTAGCGGTTGGAAGTTGCAGGTAGTGAAGTCTGGAAATAAAAACTCTCCATGTTGGACTTTGATTAGACCATCGCTGTCAGATGCAGCTGGAGTCGAACCTAGATCCGTTAAACTCTCTGGTTCTGGTTCTGTTTGGACCCGTTCACCCGTCTGTTAGTCAGATTTAAAGCTGCTTCCTCTGATAACACAGCAGTGAAAACTGATTAAATTCAAGGATCTAAATGTGTTTCTGTTTGTCTCAAACTGTTTCAGGCTGGAGATCATTTAACACATTTAACCTGAAATTAGCAGCATTTTAATTTATCCAGCCTGAAATGAAAATATGAGTCTATTGACTTAAACCATGAATACGTCTGTTTACAGATGGTTAAAGTTTGGATCCCAGGTTTTCCAGTCAAACACGTGGAAATAAAAACAGAAATAGTTCTTTACTACCAGGTGAAACACAGTTTTATAACAGCTGTGTTTCTATTAAATACGAAATGAAATTAAAATCACAGCAAGTCATTAATCTTGGCAGCGATGGATGTAAACATGAGATGATCATAATTTCTGGAGCTAGCGCCCATCTACCAGCCAATCAGAGGACTCAGTGATAAGCCCCGCCTACGTGGGAGGAGTTACGCATGCGGCGTTTGGCCATTTTCCATTGGAGTTATTGATTCAACATGTTGAAATGACTATGAACAGAGTGATGCTCTAAACAGAAACAAACCATGAAGAAGAACACTTCCTGTTGTCTTCTTCATGGTTTTCACCAGTAGTAACATCTGAATATTGATCATGTGACTCGTACGATGTGGAAAAAATGTTTCTATTGCAGTTTAGTGAAACATCTATTTAATAAAAACAACCTCATCCCTGCAAAACAACTTTTTACTGAAAATGGGAGTTTTTCCATTAAGCTACTTTATGTTTGAAGCAGCTAATGTCCTTCTGCTTCACATCGATCCTCTGCTTTGAGTTTTTCTGTCATTTGATTTCCTGAACTGTGAAGATGTTGAAGGGCTGCTGGCGGCTCAAACAGAGAAGATATTATCCAGTTATATTCTTGAATTAATTGATGTATTTCCTCTGTTGGGATCCTGATGTTTCTGTATTCATGTTTCTCTCTGTGTTTTTGTTAAAAGCTCTTCAGCTGTTTGTGTGTTTTGTGTCGCCTGTTTTTCCTTCAGTGAGAATAAAACCCGACTCTCCTCTCTGTCCTCTAATAGGCTCATCTCTCCCTCTTTCTCTCTCTCCCTCCATCTTTCATGAGTCTGAATAAAGCAGCTAATGGTGCATGGAAATAGTGGCGGCGCAGTCACGACTGCAGACACTTTCTGTTCTGTTTCTGTATGTAAGTGGAAAAGAGGACGAGCCGTTCCGTCGTCACGTTTATCCTGGAGCCTCCATGTAGAGCGCAGCCCGGCACGCTGTGTGGCTTCTGTCGGGTTCCTGACACAGATCACTGACGGTTGATGCGTCTTCCTGTCCTCAGGTTTACATCCGCATCCTGGACAACGAGTGGAACGTCTACAGACGCTACACCGAGTTCAGAGAGCTGCACAACCAGCTGAGGTCCCAGTTCCCACAGGTGGACACCTTCAGCTTTCCACCCAAGAAAGCCATTGGGAACAAGGTGAGGTCGCACTGTTTGGATGCTGCCATGGCGAACTGGGCCAAAGCATTTCAGTTTGATTCAACATCCAGTACGAATAAGTCAAGTTTCCAGCTCGATTCCCGGTAGGTGTACCTAATAAAGTGTTCAGAGTTCCAGTAACGCTCAGGTTCTGTTGGGTTCAGCTGTGAGATGACTGTGAAGGAAAGCGAAGGACTGAACCGATTTAAAAAAAAGCATCTTCATCACCAAAAACAGAAGCGAAAGATTTGAGGCCAGACTGAGAGAAACAGGAAGCAGCTGGATAAAGCTTTAAAGCTTCCTGAGATTTAAGTGGCAGATTAGTGAAGTCTGGGTGTGTCTCTGTGCCCAGTGTGTGTGTGTGCTGAGTAACACACACATACACACACACAGAGATGCTTCATGGAAAACTGAGCATAAAGCAGCAGTTTGATAAAATGCTCTCTGCATTTCTTCAGAATGGATTGTTTTTACCAGCAGTGTGCCAAAAGATTGATTCAGAATCATTATAACGTCCTAATATTCATTTTAAAAAATAAAACAAACCGCCTCTCTGTTGGCTTCCATCTTGTAACTAAGCGGGAGTCCTGGCGTTGCCATGGAGACGGTACAGAAACTTACACGAGGCAGAAAGAAACAAAGAGGAAGCAACAGAAATTCGAGCGGCTCCGTCTTCGTTGAAGGAAAATATTTTAGTTCTTTTTGGTTTTTACCTGAATTCCTGGGAGGAAAACCGAGCTGGACATGAGCTTCACCGAGTTCAAAGTTCACAAAATGTAGACGGAGAACTTCAGGAACACCGCTAATAAACGGAGCTAGTTAAGCTACAGCGGAGCTACGCAGTTCCCTCCGGTACAGAACTCCGAGAGGTGAGCTGTGATTGGTTAGAAGGTCCGGTACGGAACACAGAGGCGGGATGTGATTGGTCAGACTGTCCGGTCTGAGAGCGGGGCTGTGATTGGTTGGAAGGTTGTGGGCGGGGCTTGTGAAGAAATGATATTTTGCTTTCACTATCTGGTTTCTGTATCTGCAGGCAACATAAATATTTTAAAGAAACGTTTATCAGACACAAAGCTAAATTTTTAATATTTTTTATGATTTTTCACTGAATGACTCCAAACACTGTGATGGCTCAAGACTCCTGGGTGGAAATTGAAAGGCGCTCTGCAGAATGGTGGCGCTCTCTGATGGAGGAAAATGGAGGATTCAGAGAGGGAGTGATTTACTTTAAGCATGGATTAATATTTAAAACACTTTAATGTCTCCATGTGTCGTTCAGATCTGCTCCAGTCTAACAGATCCTTATGATCTGTCATGAGGATCCTATGATCACAGATCGACTGAAGCAGAAATTATGAAGAATCGGTTTGAATCGAATCATGAGTTGGTAAAATATTCCCACCCCTAGCTTATAGTGTGTGTGTGTGTGTGTGTGTGTGTGTGTGTGTTGTCTTTATTGGTTTTCAGAGGTGAACACCTTTCTTCCCCCAGGTGAGCTGCTGTTAAGCTTCTAACCAAATGAAAGCAGAACTCATTTCTTCCTTTAGACTGTTAGTTTATAACGAGTTGAAGCCGTCTTATTAAAAGCTCATGGATGCTCCGTTACAGCCATTAATTCACCAGCAAATTAATTAAAATCCTAAAATTAGTGAATCCACGTGCATGTTGACCTACCATGGTGGTTATATAACCGCTTCCCTGCTTCAACATATTCATTTAATCTGTGAAGCAGCAGCAGTGACTCAGTTTGCTGATGATGTTCCCAGTAGGTCTCTGCTTCCTGTCCGTCCAGATGACCTCCAAACGACCTCATGACTCATAAACCATAAACACAAACATGTCCGGCTCTAAGCAGCTCCGTTACGTTTCCAATTTCTGTGTTAAAAAATATGATTTTATATCTGTACATGTGACTCGGGGACCAGATAAACTCAGGAGCCATTTTGTTTTTAGAAACACAAAATCATTTTGTGAATTTTTTTATGCTCATCAATACATTAAATATTAAATATTTTAATGAAACAAGCATTTTAGGTAATTTTTTCAGTTTATTTTGGTATAAAAAATATTTTTATTTCCAAACAACAAAAATGAGAACTTTCTTCAAAAACGTCCGGGCCAGCAGGGGGAGTCGACCACCAGACCCTAAATGAAGACGGGACGTCCAGTAGAAAGTTGGAGGAAGAAGGAAAATACTTCATGTACAATATTACAGAACAGCAGATTCTGTAACAACGTTAGCTACCAACCGCTAGAGTTGGTAGCTAACGTTGTTACTCTGTCTCCCCCTAGTGGCCTGGAGGACTAACGTTTGTGGAGCCAGTTTGCAGCATTTTGTTCTTGGTGCAGTTTTTGCTGTTTGATTAATTGTAGCCTTATTTTATTTTAATTGTAGTTTGGCTGGATGTTTTTCTGAAGCACTGGACCAAACCGTATTTCTTCATATTTTCTGTTGACAGTGACCCTATAATGCGCCGTCGTAGATTTCAGACCTGCGATCAAAGCTGCAGAGAAAGATTTTACACTGGAGCCCAAAACTCGATGGTCATGAAGGCGAGAGGAGGAACGACGGCAGCAACGAATAAAATCAAATGTTTGGTAAAACGTTGATGGGAGCTGCAGCATGGAGCGATTCAACAGGCCCAACAGTCAGCTGGTTAGGAGCTGTGTGTGTGTGTGTGTGTGTGTGTGTGTGTGTGTGATGCATCGGCAGCTGGCCGGTCTTGCCTGAAGCATCAGCAGATGCAGAGAAACTCGTTAGCAGGACTGAAATGACTCAATGCAGAACGTGAGAGAAAGAGGCTGCAGAGCTTCAAAGGTCAGAGGTCACCTTGTGACCCGGAGTCGGCCCTTTTCCTCTTCAGACGGACTCATGATGATCCTGTTTGATCTGCCAGCGGATCTCAGGCAGCATGTTTGAAAAATGAACAAAGATTTCCAAAAACATCCCTATGGATATCTGCACTCCGGGTCAGAGGTCGCGTTAAAGATTTTCCATCTTTGACCATTTAAAAAAAAAAAAAAAAAAAAAAAAAACTAAAAGGCCCTTTTTAATTTTGACAGATTACTTTTCACACCCCTCATCACTTGGTGAGACATTTTAGCGCAGAGTTCAGGTCACTAAATAAGAAGCCAAGTTTCCCTTCGCAGCTTCGTCTCTGAAATGGAAACGGCTGAATGACCTGGCGATCATGAGTGGACGCCGCAGCGAGGAGTTAATATGGCGGCTTTGGAGCTGAACCTCTGCTGTAGGAAGCGAAGGCGAATCAGGAAACGCCTTGTTTAGGAGAAACGTTCCCCGTTTTCAAAACTTTGGCTGAAGTGATGCTGGTAATTCCAGACCAGCATCAAAACCACAAAACAGTCCACAACCTCTGCAGCAATCCCACTGCTCAGTCAGGAGACTGGCGTCGGTTCGGACCGCGATGAAGACGATGCGTTCAGGGCAGCAGGTGAACCACTCAGAGTTTAAATGTTTGTATAAGTTTTGGATCCGAGGGGTTTTATTGTGGAGAGAAAGTTAGACGAATTCATCTGCTCGATTGTTCAGCTGGTTTAGACTGAATATTAATTCAGCTGAATGAAAATGAAATGCAGTTTATTATTTTAAATGGCAGAAGCAGATGTCACTTGTGCATCAGATTTATGGGTGTACCAGAAACACGCAGATACAAAGGTTCCACTAAGGACATTTCTCTGTTAAAACAATGTGTTTAATCTAAATCTTTTTGTGTCTGTAATTAATTAATGGAAATCACGAAGATGACCGTCTGCTCCTGGAGAATCCTTGGGATGTTCTGGAGAAATCTTTATGAAGTGGCAGAACCCTCCGATCTAGATGGAAATAGATAAATAAAAATAATTCTGACTCTGCAGAAGCTGCTGAAAACAAAGCCCCAGTGAATGGCTGCCGTCATGATGAATGTGACGGGTGAGCAGCATGCTGCCGTTCAGGTAGCAGAGAAGCAGAAGTTTCCCTCCATCACAGCACCGCTGCAGCTGCTCCTCACTGAGCTGTCAGTCTGCTTCAGAAAGCGTCTCTGCATGGGAGCGCATGTTAACAGGCATGAAACTGAAAGTCCTTGGCATGTAATACAGTTAGCAGGGTGTGTGTGTGTGCGCGCTCATTTCCCCTGCTACCTGATCACCACTGACAGCTGGTGTGTTTCATCCTCAGCAGAGCGAAGTGCAGCTGAGCAGATATTCATGGCGCCGTTAAAAAAGCCTTTGAAGGTCTCGCAGTCAAATATCAGCCAGAATGCTTCCCAGCATTAACATTTCTTCATCATTAGCTGGAAATAAAATATAAAAGCCCCCGCTGGCGCGCGCGTGTGTTTACGTGTGCATGTATATCAAAGTCACTTTTGGATTCTCAAACAGTCTATTTGTAATTGATGAAAGCAAGGCTAACAGAAACGAAGCTAACAGCAGAGCTGGGCTCCACTGGGCTGCACTCCAAACGGGTCCGAACTCAGAGAAACAGCTCTGGTACTTTGGACGCGTTCGCACCAACGCAGTCCAGTCCACCTTAATCCGACTCCAGTCTGTTTTCCTCTAAAATCCGGTCTGTTGGTGAGGTGTAAACGCTAACTGACCTCTGACCTCTGGTCCTCCAAACCTCGGTCTGGGTTCAGTTGAAGTGACCTCTGGTTCGGTTTGAATGTGAACGCCAAGTGGACCGGAGACCGCTCCAAAAGCAGGAAGTGGACTACTTCCTGCTTACTACAGCGCAGGGCATTCTGGGTAAATCCAACCAAAGCTAACGTGCTAGCCTAGCGCTAGCAGCAGAAATGGCTCCTGGTCTTTAGCCTAAAGAGAAATCCTCCAACCGCTAAAATCTGACGCCTCCATCTTGTTTCCATCTGGTGAAGAAGGAAGTTGCTCTCAGTGTCTTCAGAGGTTTTTGTGTCGTTTCCTTCAGTGGTTCTTGGTGCAGCGCCCCCACAGGCCAGGAGGGGAACAGGTTGGTTTGACTCAGAGCAGCTGGAGGTGGAGCAGATGATGGAGTTCTGGTTCCAGTAGAACCGGGTCGACTGGACTGAAGGAGGTTTATTTCGGGTTTCTGCAGAGTTGAAGGGGGAATTCAGCTGTTTGACTCTCATGTTGGAGCAGGGAAGCATGTGAAAGTTCTAGGAATTGCGTATCCGACTTCTCAGAAGTTGCTGATGGTTAAAGCAGCAACGGGGAAATATCTTCTGATCCCAAAGTGTGGGAGGAAATATTCAGCTGTCATAATATTTCCCTCTGTGTCAAACACCTGGCCTCGTCTGCGTCTCCAGAGGAATCTGTCACAACTTTCATTAGTCTCATTACCGCTGCAGTGTGAAAGCGTCTCTCATTGACGCAGCGTGAAGGCGGCCATTTTCCCTCCTGCCCGTCCTGATGGCCCAGCATGCAGATCTCTGCACGGCGGCTCTTCTGCTCCACTCAGACCAGCTGCCAAACTCTGAGCCCATTTTTCCTAATTTAACGTTTCCAGCTTCCTCTGGCCTTGCTGCTGCTGCCGGCCATGTTGGAGAGACGCTTAGCAACTCTGTGGCAGAAGTTTGCGTCGTTTCACGGCTTTGTTTGGACACAGTGATTCCCACAGACCCAGGCATTCCGTCACCTCCTGGAAAAACCTGGAATTTAAGGGTTTTCCAGGTACAATTGTTAAAAGGAGAATTCCCCATTTCATTATCCAAATGTTTGTTTTCATTCTTTCTGTCTTTGCCTCTTTATTTCTTGTAGCCTTTCTTTCCATCTTTCCTTCTGTTTTTTCTTTCTTCTTTGTTTCTTTCACTATTTGTCTTTTTTATTTTGCTCATTCTCTTTTTTCTTTCCTTCTTTCTCTTTTCTCTCCTTTTCTCTTTACATCTTTCGTTCTTGATCGCGGACCGATCATCGAGTGTGTTTTGCTCTCAGCTGAGTCATTTGCGCTCCGCACGGTTCAGTTTTTACCAAGCAGGAAGCGCTGCGCTGGATCTGCTGGTGGAGTCGGTTCTGGCCGGGTTGAACTGGGGCAGAACCAGTTAAAGTTGCTCCATAAGGGAATCACCTTTAGTAGGTGAACCGGGTCGTGTCGGTACCAGCTCCAGGTTGAAAACATTCAGATGAAACGGTTTTAGCAGGTCAGGTGGAAGTCGATGAATTTTTCAGCTGCAGTTTTTCTCTCCTCTAAATGGTTTATTAATAAATAATTCTGACCTTCAGTGTTTGTTTCCTTTTCTCTCCTTCAGCCTCATTATTTGTTGCAGTTCAGTGTGAGCAGCTCGGCTGTGTTTCGGACAGAACTGATCGAATTGACCTGCAGTGGGATGAGAAGCAGAGCAATATTTTTAAAACGCGTCGCTGCGCCGCGTCGCTGCGCCACGCCTCTGCGCCGCTGCGTGCCAACGCGGCGCTCCCAGCAGCAACGCGGCAGTTGCCCAGGCTTTGTTTGAGCCGTCCTGGACGCTGATTAGCCGGGCTAACTGTGGCCATGTGGCCCCAAGGAAGAGGCTCCCAGCAGGGGGTCCCTGCAGCACCAGCAACAAAAACTAACAGGAATAATTTAGCTTATTTAGTCTGACAGAGAAACATGGGGGTTTTGTCCTTGTTAATTTATAAATCCCAGTTTCACACTAAATATTTAGTTTAGGAGCTAAATATTTAACTCCAAATTAAATATTTAGTTTAACTAAATACTTATTTCTGAAGTAAATATTTATTTTCTAATGTAATTATTTAGCTTGCTGACTAAATATTTAGCTAATATGCTAATTTGTTTAGTGATAAGTGGAAGTAGACTATCAAAATAAAAGCCATCTGTCACAGACCTATATAAACTCTTCCTGCTGGCTACATCGCTTCAGCCGTCGCTCGAGTGACGCGTTTGACTCACTCTTTAGCTAGCACATTAGCTGCTAACTAAATATTTAGGTTGATGGCTAAATGTTTAGTTTGAGCTTAATATTTTGGTTGAATTATTTATTATTGGTTTGGAATTTAAATGCTCAGTTTGGAAAATTATTTTTTAATTTGGAGCTAAGTAATTCGCTTTTGATTAAATATCTAGTTTGGAACTGTGACATTTCTAAACATATAAATGATGAAAATGTGACAACCATGTCTTCCTCCCTGTGAGGCTAAATAAACCCAAATATTGTTCACGTCTTGCTGTGGGACAAACCGGACCGCTGGTAGAATCACTGGTCATTTGTAGTTTGACCGTGGATCTTACTCTGCAGGTGTTGAAGCTTCATTCCTCCTCTCATCGTCTCTCTGCCTGCAGGATGCGAAGTTCGTGGAGGAGCGGAGGAAGCAGCTGCAGAGCTACCTGCGCACGGTGATGAACAAGCTGATCCAGGCGCTGCCAGAGTTCACCGCCCGGCCCACCAAAGAGACGCTTCTGGCTCTGCTGCCGTTCTGCCAGTAAGTGGAAACACGCCGCCATGTTGGTCACAGGCCGCCGCCGCCATGAAAGCCTGTGGTCTGGCCTTTAACAGGTCCTTAATTAAAGGGGCAGTTTTACGTAAAATCCACGTTCTGAATCATGTTATAAAATCAAACCTGAAGTGATGCTTTTATTCTTTCTTGTTTGAGAAATCCTTTCATCTTCATGGCAACCATTGAACTGTTAAAATGCCTGGGTGGACCAAGCCCCGCCCCTGAGGTTTAGCTCCTCCCCCACTCTGCTCCACCAGACTAGCCATCAGCAATTAGCGACCAGCTGCTGAGCTCATGATAGGAGCTGCTGCTCAGAGCAACGCTGGTAGAAACGTTAAAGGGTTAATAGAGGAGCCATGTTGGGACGACTTCCTGGAGGCGGAGCTTCAGGAAGAGCAGGAGCTTTTTAAAGAGACAGAGGCCCAATTTCAAGAAGTTAAATCAGGAAGTGACATTTCTTTTCAGTCATATTTGATGTAGCATTTTCTAACAACAGAAGGTAACATAATTGCTTGATTGTTGTGTAAAATGGCTCTGTGTGCCTGGAAAACAGAATCCTGTCCCTTTAAGACGCCCCAATGTTTCTGAATGACATGAGAGCAGAGCGGGTTGGAGATGCTAAAGGCTCGGTATCAGCTGCTGCTCCCTCATGAAACAAATCAACATTGGAAACTCAGGTTCTTTCCCTGAGATTAAAATGTTTGATGATCTGAAACATTCAAGGTTTAAAGGAGAAAAAACAGAATCAGTAAAGCAGTAACGCTGTGATTTCATATTTAAAGATAAAGAGAAATAACTGGCTGTCAGTTTAGCGTAACATTATTATCCAGTTTAATCTAGCATACATTGACGAAGACCCAGCCGTCCCAGCTGCTCTGCTCTTACACACAGGATTAATGTCAAACCTCCTCCAGACAAACTGCAGTTTTTCCACACATAAATAATAAAAGTTCCTCGTTTCTCAGTCACTCTCATGTAGCAAAGTGTCTGCAGCTTCAGCTGCCCACCTACTGAGCGATCCAAACCTTCTGTCATTTTCTGTCCATATTCCACATCTGTTTCCACTTAGCGATCAGTCGGCGGACGTGATGTGCCACCCGTCTGCCCTGAATGTCACTTCCTCCCTGGAGACGCCCGCTGAGTGCAGCGGCAGGGCGTTAGCGCTCTGCGGCCGCCCGCCATCATACGGCGCCGGTTTGCTGCTAACGCTACAGAAGCTTCATAACTGATCCAGATGCTCTGATGCCAGGACATGAATTTAAATCTCTGTCAGTACAGAAACATTTTCATTAAATACAGCTAATAAAGGCCACTGGAGCCACAAAACCTTTAACACACATATACATAATTTACACAGCTAAAACGTTTGGATTTTAAATCATTTTCACTCCAACAAGCAGTTTGTTTCTGGTAAGAAATCACTAAATAATGAGACGATAAAAATAAGGATCAGGGTTGTTTTTATTAGTATTTCATTAAAAAATAACTAATCAAAAATCATTTAAGCTTTTTATAAAACATTTATAAGCATTGCAGAAATAAATCTCTTCTTCAGCAGAAACCAGCGCTAACTAAAAGTTAGCCTTACTAACCCTAAAGCGCTAATTTCTAACATTCACTCTGCTAACGCTAATGCGCTATACCAACATGGTATTCAGCTGAAGCTAACGCTAATGCGCTACACCAACATGGTATTTAGCTGAAGCTAATGCGCTACACCAACATGGTATTCAGCTGAAGCTAATGCTAATGCGCTACACCAGCATGGTATTTAGCTGAAGCTAATGCTAATGGCTTCCTGCCCAACATAAACGTATTAGTTGAATGAAAACTGTTTGACCTGTGAACCTGCAGGTGGTATGAATAATTATGAGCCTCAGTCTGCCGTTAGCTGTCAGTTTTTCTGTCATGAAAACTCGACGCGCACCAACAACGCGGTACGATGAGTTTGTAGATCTGTGATTTTAGAAGCAGCTCATTAAATTCATTCTAGGAACTGAATGAGGATCTGGACGCAGCGCTATGGTAACCATGGCAACACATTGAGACGTTTGGAGGGTGATTCCCAGACACCAAACAAGAAGAGGAGAAGTTAAGCAGAGGCTTGGTGTTGTTCCTTAGTAATGATAATGCGACGCTGCACAATGCTCATAATTAGTCATTTCTGTGGAGCTGAAGAGAGAAGATAAATGAACCGGAGCCTTGCAGCGTGACCCACTGTCAGCAGAGATAGGATGAGCGCTCAGATGGTTCACTCGGGTCAAATTTGACACAAAGTGGTTCATAATTAAAGCTCTCAGATGGATGTCAGTGTTTGCTTTCAGAGCAGAAATTATTGGTTACCCAGGATTATTAAATTTAAAATCTGAATCATCAAAGCTCCAGGGAAGAGTGAGGGTTGCAGGTTCAATTACCATCCACTCCTAAATGCAGCAACGAGGGCACAAGACTTTGACTAGGCCACCTTCAGTTGGCTGTAATCTCATAAAAGCAGTTATGGATGCTCATTATTTATGTTTAATAGGAGGCAGTGAGGGAGTAAAAGACAGCAGCAGAAGAAGTTACAGACAGACAGACTTCCTGTGTGTAATTAATGATTTAATTAGTAAATTAATAAACAATAGCGCTGCTGATTAACTGTTTCCGCTTTTACAGACCAAACTAACTGCAGAAAAATGAACAAATTAAAGTTTTCCTCTGGTGTTATTCTGCTTTTCATCTAAAGCATGAACCAATAAAACTCAAATTCAAATTATAAAATAGTTTTTATTGGTTTAGACCCAGAATTATTTCATGTCCATTCCAGTGGACGACTGGTTTTACTCTGAGAATAAAGTGTCACAGTTAGCATCTCATTCATGCTAAATGCTATCAGTTAGCATCACATGCTAAATGCTATCACAGTTAGCATGCAGCTCCACCTGCCTCAGGAAAATCAAACGTCTCCAGACTTCAGCCTCCAGCAGCGATTGGTTTCCGCCTGAGGAACCATCAGTTCATGTTTGTGAAGAAAAGTTTCTTGTTGAGACCCAGCCGTTTACCGCTCGGCTTTTTTCTCCTCGACACTCATTTTGATTTATGCCAGCATTTGTGTAGCTCTTTACTCTAATTAGCTTCCTCAGCATTCACATTATTAATATTCCAACAGTGGTGGGGAAAGTTATTATCCTGCACAAATCAATAAAATGTCCAAATGGGGAACCAAGGCCTGCAGAGCGCCAGAGAAAAACCCATAAACTCAGTTAATCCAACACATTTTCCCCTTTGAGGCGGCTGGCAGGTTCCGCTCTGCAGTGTAGGAGCAGTTCTGGTGATGTAGCGCCTCGATGCAGCCATGTTTGGACCTGATTGGACCTGATTGGACCTGATTGGACCGGGTCTAACAGAACCAGCCTGGTGCCGGTCCGATGGGGAGGAAGAGCCGCTCCTGATCCAGAGGAAAATGATTCAGATTCACTGTAATGAGCAACCTGTCTGACCCAACACACACACACACACACACACACACACACACACACACACACACACACCCTGAATGCAGCAGCTGATGGTGTGGTCAGTTAAACTCTGAGTTTCTTTCTCTGCTTCCTGGCAGATCATTGGCCCAAATGTCGCCACCTTCAGCCAATCAGATGGCAGAGTTTTATTTTTAGTCCAATTGAGCGAGGAGGATCGAACCGCCTGGACCGAGTCCAGACCCAGAGGTCTGGCTGGCGGTGCTTTGGCGCCGCTCGCCCTCATAGCGTTAGCGTTAGCGGCTCTGCGCCTCGGGTTGCCAGGTTGGGATGGAATCGGGTCGACAGAGAAAGCGTTTCATTTCCTCCGTCTGACCGGCGCCTCTTGCTCACCCTCATCCCTATCAGCCTCGGGGATCAGCCAACCGCGTGTTTTCAGGATGGTTGCCCTGGCAACCGGGCCAGTGATGTCACCGGCTGGACAAAATTAGTTTCCCTCAGAGTGATGGGAAAAGTGCGGCCCGTCATGGGACAAACGTGAGCTTTAATCTGAGCCCGCCCGACTGATGGGGGAGATGATTCACTTCCTCCTCAGATTCACACGAAGCTTTTATTAAACATTAAAGTCTAAATAACTGAAAATACTGAAAGCTGCTCTGGATTGAAATTATTAGCAAACGTATCCTTATAGCTCTGATGGTTTCAGGATGCAGCTGCTGCTTTCCATGATTAATCATATTTATGGACAAGCTGCAGGTTCTGATTTATTTATTATTAACAGCCTTGAACTGAAAATGTTTCTTCCTGCATGGATGGATAGCAGATTTAATCTTCTGAACATTTAATTACCAAAACCAACAAAAGAAGCTGGTTCTGGACCGGTTAACGGTTCTGAAGCTTCTACTGGACAAGACTAATGAAGATCGTTGAGTATAAAACAAACATGAATTTTATGTCCTACTTCTAATCGTAAGAAATGTTTTCATAAACGACGAATCTGTTTTCTGGAAGAATAATTAACATTATAGATCGATTATCAGTCGGTCGGGTCGAGAGAAACAAAACGATTCTGTTCATAAACGGTTTATAGGAGCTGCTGCAGATGTCGGAGCTTTTATTTTTAGTTTTCCACCTTAGTGTTCATGTGCTTCATGGTTTCACATGTGACTTTCAGATGTGAAATTCGGGGGATTTTCCTGCAAAAACAGAAACTTTGAAAACTGGCATCTATTTTTACAGCTGAAGTCTCACTGGATGCTAACAAGATGTGTCCAAGTCATTTAACTTTCTGTGCTGATGTTCTTTCTCATTTCACATTTTCTCATCATTTATCACCTTCTAACTCGTTTTGGTTTTTAAAACGTTTCCAGTTCGTTACGTCGGTTCGGCAGCAGAACTTATTTTATAATTCAGTTGTGGTATGCTAACAGCATACTAGCTAACATTAAAACAGCAAGGTAACTATGCGTAACCAAGGCAACCAGTATCACTTATTTAAAGGCCGGTCAATCAGCTGCTGACCAATCAGCTGAGACGATGACATCACTGACGGTCTGTTTTCATTGGTCGGAGCTAACATGTCCCTCCCTCTGTCTCCGTCCTGCAGAGACGCCCCCCAGGGGAACGAAGGCGGCTCCAAGACGCCCCGGTCCAGAACCTCGTCCCGCTTCCCCCGACTGGGCCGCAGCTGCACGCAGGACGCTCGACCCGAGCCGCAGAGCGGCGACCTTTGACCCCGGGACGGCACAGACTCTGAGGACATTCAGGGGCCGCTGTGGAGATTTACTTAAACTGGTGACGCTTCGGCCCGTAAGACGGGACGGAACCGGCCGACCCAAACATCCAGAACCGGTTCCGGCGCTCAGACAGGAAGTGGACCGGTCCGATCCTCAGATCAAACCGGTTCTGGGACTTTTTACTCACTTTTGTAGTTAAAGTCTTCTCAGTGCCTACCATGTTTTGTAGCTTCTCTCCTGGACCTGGGGGAGGTCAGAGGTCATGGGTCATCAGCTGTCTCAGTGCCACCATTAACCCAGACTGGACCTCACACTGCTGGCATTCCTCCTCCCTGCCTTTGTTATTATTGTTGTCGTTGCTTTTATCAACGTGCTGGATCGTGTCGTCACCGTGGTGACGTCGCCACGGTGACTCGTTTTGTTTTCTACGATGGCAGAGGAGGATTCTGGGAAGCAGGAGGATCAGATGAACGTGAGCGAAGCGACACCATGAATAATCTGTAATTTGGTGCGTTGGCTCAGATTAGGCCTTCCTTGATGGCATCATGTTGCTACGGCGCTGAGATTATTAAAGCCAAAACTGAAAAGGAAAAACTGAGCCACAGTCATTTCAGCGTTTGGGTTCAAAACTCCTTCAGTTGTTCTGAAAACATAAAGCTCTTAACTTTAACCTTTGTTGGGTTAAAATGTTGAACCAGTTTTCTCTGATCCGTCAGCCCTGCTGTTCGTTCGCGGCTAATAAACACCTGAAGTCGCACCTTCACCAAAAACCAAAAACATTTTGTAGACGTAAACAAACGTAAACTGATGGACGATGGACTCTCCTCCTGTTGGGACCATCTGGCTGTTTCTCAGCAGGCTGGACCGGGCCGTTCCAGAACCTTAAAGGAAACACATTATCCTTTTGAATTTTACATTTAAATCATCCATTGTGGCCTATTTAAAGCTGAACTTCAAAGTTTTGGTCAGAATCCCTGGTTTTTGTAGCTCCTCAGGCTCCACTTTGACCCCTGACCTGACAGCATCTCGTTTTGATGCACTTCACGCCCCGCCTCCCTTACAGGTCGTAGAAATTTCGACCATTTTTGTAGTTTCATAGCGGAATACGATAATCTAACGGCCCAGAAACGAATTAAAAGACGTGAACAGCAGCAGACTCCAGTCTGACATGTTGGAGCCACAGCATGAACAACCTCAGCTTGTAAACAAAGCCTCAACGTAGTTAGCACGTAGCTATGCTAGCACGTAGCTATGCTAGCACTTAGAACGTCACTCCATGAATTTGGTTCAAGTCTTCAGATGAATACAGAAAAAACAATGAAAACTGTTTACATAATAAAACTGTTATAAAAGCCAAGCACAGTTCTGCCCTGAAAGCGCTAACAGCTAGCACAAAGTGCTAACATTAGCAGAAGCTACAATGCTATTGCTAGCAAAACTTTGGCCAGGATGTCATATCAGTAAACAAATTGTCTGAAATAAAGTTTGTTGACATTTTATTGTTATTTACAGCTTATTAAACTATAAATAGTTGACACTATTAACAATTTGCAGTCAGTAACTGCAGATGGCAGCTATTAGCTAGCTGCTAACAGCTGATTAGCTGTTTTAGTTCTTGGCTTATTATTCAATGGCTATTTGATACTTGATTATTTGAACATTCTGTTGTTTCCACAAACAGAATAATGTTTTCTGATCCGTCTTCAAAAGTTGTTGAATCGTGTTTTTGGTTCGGTTGAGCGTCGGCCCGGCCCGGTCCGGTCCGGTTTGGTGTCGCGTCATCCTTCCTGCTCGTCTCACAGCGTTTATGAATTGAAGCGCTGAGAACATAAACCAGAACAGATCAGCGCTCAGATAGAGCTACACACAGATCAGCCGGAACCGGCAGCTTTTTAGCTGCAGGATGTTTTTCGGGTTTAGCGGTTTGGGGAAAGTAGCTGCACACTTTGGTTTCGCTCAGTTGGAGGTGAAGGAAACGCGAGCGAACGCCGCGTTCCCTGACCACTGACCAGAAAATTGGTTACAAGCTTATTAAGGACGTGGATGGCTGCTTTTGGGCAGAGTTTAACATCACACACACACACACACACACACCGTAGCGACTGGGGAATGTAGGCCATGTGCGCTGAATGCTGACACAGAACATCTTCCTGGTTTTTCATAAAACAAAAACCTTAGATTATAATCTTCCTGTAAACATGGCTGGTAAAATATTCCATATTTTATTGGCGTTATTAAATACTGGAAACATAAAGCAGGTTTTCTATAGTCAGTTTTCTCTTCCTGAATCTAATTTTACAGATTAATGTTCTGAAAAGAAAACATTAATAATCTGGATGTTTTATTGCAGATTATTTGTACATGTTTAGATTCAGATGCGCTTTACGTCTGCATGTTGTCTGTTGCCATGGTTTCTCATGGTTCTCAAGGTTTCTCATGGTTTCTCATGGTTCTCAAGGTTTCTCAAGGTTTCTCATGGTTCTCAAGGTTTCTCATGGTTTCTCAAGGTTTCTCATGGTTTCCCAAGGTTTCTCATGGTTTCTCAAGGTTTCCCAAGGTTTCTCATGGTTTCTCTCTCGCTGCAGGTGTAGAAGCAGATTTGGTATTTTATTCTCTCATCTTCTTTCCTTTTAAACTTTTTCTCCATCTTTCATTTTTTTCCATCTTCATTATATGAGAATAAAACAAAGTATTTTGTAGTAATTATATATCAGGGGGAGGAACTGCAGCGGACAGCATGGAGAGGAAGAGGAGCCATCAGCGAGGAAGGTCTAATTCACTTTTCTTTTTACATTTTTTAAGTTTGCCTGACAGTTAGCTTAGCTTCCATCCAGAAAAGAAAAAGCAAATGAGTCGTGTTTCCATTTCCTGGTTTGGAGCGAATCAGACGGGTTGCGCTCAGCGTGATGTCATCAAATGTTGATGCTACGCATGGCTGGAATAAACAGGAAGTAGAGGTGGCTAACTGGCTAACTAGCGTGGAGGTTTGATGCCTCTGGTAAGGCGCAGACCAATCAGTGAATAGGAGAGTTCGTTATATCAGAACCGGACCCCCCAGTCCCTCCCGGGGCCCCGTCCTCATTACCTCGCCGTGTCTCCGCGGCCCTGCGTCACGTCCAGCAGCCGGCTGCTCTGCTCTCCTGCTGGTTCTGGAGGTTCTGGTTCTGGAGGTTCTGGTTCTGGAGGTTCTGGTTGCAGGTGGATTATTTTTTCCTCCTTTCATCATTTGTTCTCCAGCTGCTTCAGGCTTCAGGGCAGGAAGTGGATCCTCAGGCTGCGGACGCCTTCCTGTCGGTATCAGGACGAAATCTGAGCAGATTATTCATTAAAATAATCTGGATGGCTGCAGCATCTAGATGTTCTGGTTCTTTATCCAGCAGCAGATGAAGAGGAATGAGAAGATAAACCAGGAGATCTTGATGCTCATCTTCCTTCTGCTAGCCAACAGAAGCTAATGGCTAGCCGCTTCCTGCCTGAGCGGCAGCGGGAGGTCAAAGGTCAGCCGGACTGTGAGATCCTGACCTCACAGCTTCATGGCGGAAACTGGTTTCACCGAAGAGGAGAAAAGTTTCTAAAAGTTTGAATGAGATCTGATTTATCATTTCAAAATGTTTTTTTACTTTGAATTTTATGTCAACATGTTAGAATATCAATCAATCAATCAATCAATCAATACTTTTTTTGGTAAGTTGCCCACATTAAACACATGACAAAAACAATAAACAACCCAGAATATGAAAATAATTTCTGTTTCTTTTTACAGAAGTTGTAAACTGTTTGGCCTGGTTTTAGGATTCACTTCAACAGTTTAAACTTTTCTGATTCTTAGATTAAAATCGGATTTTAAACTTCTAGATGAAAGGGAAATCATCTTGAAACCACGAAGTCCAGCTGGGAAACAATTATTTGTTGTATTTTCAGGTTATTTCTCTTACAGCAACAGTTTTCCTCATCATAAGTGAAATAATTCACCGGTGGACCTGGATTTGTTTATCAGCTGAAGGAATTATTAAAACTTTCTCCCATCTCCTCCGTCTCGTTTCCAGTGGAATCAGATGTTTGCAGCAGAATATTTGGTCATATTTAATGTTTTGTGGTTGATGAAACAGAGACGCTTTGGGCTCCTGGTTCCGTTGGTTCTGCTCTGCTCGGATCCCGGTCCGATCTCGTCTCCAGATGTTTTTGGGTCGAATCGTTTCGGTAAAATGTTCTGCAGAGTGAAGTGGACGGTTTCCAACACGAACACTTGACCCCTCGCTGCTCGGTGTGATCCAATCAGCGGCTCCTCTCCATCAGAACCAGGCTGAGAGCCAATCAGCCGGAGGACTCTTCACCACAGGAAGTGCAGCTGCACCGCTTCACCTGATGGTCCTCCGCGGCAGGAAACGGTGGGCGGGGCCAAGAGGAGACGCCTTTCAGACCCCAGTCTGTTCAGGTTTAATCACATTTTCTGCCCCAAATCGGCTGCATCACGTTTTCATAACCAGATTTATGCAGAACCTCAGAACCTGATCCCAGCTGGAACCGAAGATCTGGCTCCTCATTTCACCAAAGTTCATTTATTCACAGAGAATCCAGAGTTTATAACAGAACAGACAAAAACAAACGAGCCCAGAACCCGATCTGCAGAAACAAGAAAACAAGCCAGAGGCGGTGACCTTCACACTTCAATCCAAGGTCACCCATCCAAGGTCATCCATCCAAGGTCATCCATCCAAGGTCATCCATCCAAGGTCACCCATCCAAGGTCACCCATCCAAGGTCATCCATCCAAGGTCAGACTCGTTTGTTCTCCGCTGACACAACAGGATCCTTCATGTTCTGAGGCAGAGGAGGGCTGAGCTGAGGAAGAAACATGAAGGTTGCTTCCATCCTGGGAGTCTCCAGGAAACAGGAAGTGACCCGGTTCTGCTGATGACGCTGTGGAGGGAAAAAGTTTGGTTCCTCTGATCAAATGGCTCCATTCTTTCCTTCCAGGCATGAAAACAAAATGCAGACGATCAAATTCAGTTTGTTTTTCAAAACTACAATGGAAAACTTTTTCACATCATAGAATCTCATGATCAACAACCGGATGTTACGAAAACCACGAAGAAGAAAACAGGAAGTGGTAGGAGGACGATGGCGTCTGTTTTTAATGATTTGTCAAGAGGACAAACTTATTTATGTCTTTAATGAAACACTGCAGTTGTAAATAGTTTTGTCGTCTTTAGTGGAACATTGCCAGTTTATCGTTATGGAAACGCAGCTAACGCATCAGACCAGGTGGCGCTGTCGTCCATCTCAGATCGTCACATTTAGCAGAGCTGCTTTTAAAGACAAATGTTGATGCAGAAGTTTTCTAGCTGCTGACTCACAGGTGGAATCCTCGTGATTCGCTGTGAAGCTGAGAAAAATCTCACTAGATTCCCTCCTCGCCTCCGCCAGGGTTCCCTCCCCGGCAGCAGGGAGGCGTGTGTGTGTGTGTGTGTGTGTGTGTGTGTGTGTGTATTCTGCTGGTGCTAATGATCTTCATTTCTCAGCCTAAGTGTTGAGTGATGCTATTTAAGAGAAGTGTAACAATCACACCATCATGGGTCGCTGGGCGTTTTGCCGCGTCTTCGCAGGTTAGCGGCGCCGCGTTAGCTTAGCGGATCGGACTGTTTGAGCCAATCAGGTGTGCTTTCACACAGACAGGTGTCAGGATGGCCATTAATAGATCTAATGATGTCAGCTGTGCATATTTTCCTCCTGGATGGACTCATTTAAGAATCACACCTCCGATGAAACTGTCAGGTTTCTTCCGTTTAGCCGTTCTTCCAGCAGCAGCTGTGTTTTAGGAAACATTAAAAGTAAAAACTACTAATTTCAGGTTATCTGTCATAAGAGAAGAAATACAGCCACTTTTTTAGTCATAGTAAGCAACTAAATTAAGCTAAATCCTTATCTTTCAGGCTAAATATTTAGCTTTGCTGTCTGCACTGACTGGTTCTCTAACTTCTTTGGGCTGCACAGCAGTGCAGCAGGTAGAGCTGCTGCCTTGCAGCAGAAGGTTCTGGTTCGATTCCCGGGTCTTTCTGCATGGAGTCTGCATGTTCTCCCTGTGCATGGTGGGTTCTCTCCAGCTTCAGTCCAGAAACNCGACTGTCAGGTTAANTGGTNTCTAAATTCTCCCTGGTGTGACTGTGTGTGTGGTTGTTTGTCCTGTGTGTCTCTGTGTTGCCCTGAGACAGACTGGTGACCCGTCCAGGTGACCCGTCCAGGTGACCCGACTGGTGACCCGTCTAGGTGACCCGTCCAGGTGACCTGACTGGTGACCCGTCCAGGTGACCCGTCCAGGTGACCCGACTGGTGACCCGACTGGTGACCTGACTGGAGACCCGTCCAGGTGACCCGTCCAGGTGACCCGTCCAGGTGACCCGTCTCTCACCCGAAACGTTTTCTGGAGGCAGCAGCTCCTGACCCCTCGAGGACAAGGAGTTAGAAAACGGATGGATGGTTCAAACTTTTTCAATTTAGCAAAGTTTCAGAAAATCAAACTAAAATTCTGCTCTCATTTTTTTCTCAACAAAATCTTGACAGTATAATTTCACATTATTCATTTTCACCATTTTTCAGTCATTAAGCCCAATCTGGTTTCTATCAAACCATTTTCTTGTCCGTTTCTGAGCTCAGAAACACGAAGCAGGAATCTTTTCTCCTGCATTTCAAACTTCGTCTCTCTGTACGAATCATGTCACAGAAACGAAGCGGGTCGAGTGAGTTTGTGCTCCTGCACTAATTACAGTCTTTAGATGTTGGATTAGAGGCTGTTTACTCCAGCTGCTGCTCGGTCAGCTCACATCAACCTTGTTGTACTCCTGCTTCACTCCCTCCTGACATTTAACAACAGAAGAAGAAAACATGCTCCTTAAAAATACTCCGTCCAATTAAACCCACCTGGCAGCGCCAGGCTTTCTGCTCAGCAAGAGAAAGAAAAAGAAAATCCGTCCTGATCAGCAGACAGACGCTGCTGTTCACACATTTCATTTAGCTTTTATTTCAGAAGGTTGACTGCAGGAGGGGAAACGGCTCAAGTGAGCTTAGATGTTTTTGGATGAAAATCAAAACCAGAAACATGAAAAAAAAAAAAAAACAGGAAATGGTGGAAAAACAGGAAATGGTGGAAAAACAGGAAATGGTGGAAGGGTGACGGCAGAGAAGACCTGCAGCTTCCTGTGCTCCAGATGTCAGCAAAAAGAAGAAAAAGGTAAAACTGGACTAAAAATGTAAACCTAACATAAAATATTGATTATTGTGATGATTAATATTAATGTTTAATTATATTTTTATCTCGCTACATGTTTAGCTCCGTCCTGAATATTTTTCTTGCTGACGTTTCTTAAAACCAGCGATTCTTTAAAACAGGAAGTGACGTCGTAGCGGGAACATCTCCGGTCGAACATTTCCTGTTCACGTTTGATTCACTTTTAAATTGTTCCTGAGCGACTAGTAAAGTTTAAGACTTCCTGTTTGTTCGTGAGAAATGTGTTTACATTATAATGAATCAATAAATGATTTCTATGAAAACCTTTTGACAGAGCAGCTCTGCAGCCCGGCTGTAGAGGAGTTTCCTCTGTTTCCATCTGATGTTATCCGGTGTTTTACTGCAGAGCTGCTCAAACCCTCCTGTCATGTTAAAGGATGTTAGGAAGTGGATTTCCACTCTTGTCTCACAGCTTCGCGCCTCTAACCGCCCATCAGTGACTCAGCGCTGAACCAACATGCTGTCAGCTGCGTTACAGTCAGACTTAGAGCTGCAGAATCAGGTCGGAGAATAAAACCCGGAGAAACCAAAGGTTCAGAACCGCCGTCTCTGGGAAAGAGCAGCTTTTATCCCCGCCATGTTTTCTCTGCTGGTTTTCCACATCAGAGACGAGCTGGCGTCTCCGTTTGTCCCAAAATCTGCCTCATCAAGGCCCGAGTCAAAGAGAGTCAGTGAGAAATTAAATTCCCCTAATTAGGTCAGCAGATCTGCCTCCCGAACCTCCAATCATCCAGACAAATCTCTAATTAATCAGCGACGATCAGAGGCTGCAGCCAGTTTCATCCTTCACTCCAGAAAAACACGAGGTGTGTGTGTGTGTGTGTGTGTCTTGAGGTTCCTTGTGTTTTCATCAAAGCAGACGCTGCAGGCTGTAACTCAGGATGTTAAAGTTTAGTGAAGTAAAACTTATGTAAGCTGATCTTTGCTGTGGTTCTGACCCAAACGGGTCGGCTGGACTAGCAGCCATAATGAGAGCAGAGGATGAAGGACTTCTGCTACAACCGTCGTCACAACGTTCATTATTTACCTGGCAGGTGTAATCATTCACAGGCTGGTTATGAGTAGTCAATATCCGACCTGCAGCAGAAAACGTCTTTTTCTTGTATAAATCCAGATAGGTGTTCCTAGAAGCTGACACCAAATCCACCCAATCACCGAACAGATAAACGGATAAATGTCTGGATGAGCCGAAACTGAAGGTTTTAATCTTAGGACGTAACAGATAAAAGAACAATCTAGAGTCATAGATCTAGAGTTATAGATCTAGAGTTGTAGATCTGGAGTCATAGATCTAGAGTTATAGATCTAGAGTCATAGATCTGGAGTTATAGATCTAGAGTTATAGATCTGGAGTCAGCTTCAGTTCCAGCTGTAACCCAGAGATCAGGCTGACCTCTGACCCTTCAGAGGTCGGGTGAAACTGGCCGTTTGCTGCAGCCGTTGCTTCATCATGTCTGGTTTCTGACAGTCGGATAAAATACGACGTAACGGTTCAGACACAGATTCTTTTAGTCCGATGATTCTTGATTCTTCTGAGTGTTGCATTCAGAATAAACACCAATACTTTATATACAGTTTTGAAATAAACATTTATGGGGCGAATAGATTGTAGGTGACAGTTTACTATGAAAACTCTGTGTAATTCACTGGGGAGAGTTTG